TGAAGCTCTGCTTTGGAATTACTCTGGTGGACTATTGTTTTTCCGATGACCAGTAGATCTGGATCTGAGAAGGAAACAAATGCATGTAATACATTTTGATGATTCATATAAATACCCCAAAGCATTCACAGTATCTATAATGGGTGTTTGTTTGACCCCATGGTTCATTAGATAGTAGCTATTGAATACAATATCAACCAAAAACACACACACACACACACACACACACACACACACACACACACACACACACACACACACACACACACACACACACACACACACACACACACACACACACACACAAAAGTTACCTGTGACAGACAAAGTGACTCCTGGTGAAGCAGTATATGCATCTTTGTTTGTTTTGAGCCTGAACCTGTACTCAGCTGAGTCGCTCTCTGTCAGGTTTTTGATTCTCAGAGTGCATCTGTTGTTTTCACAGAGATCCTCTACACGACCTGAATACTCTGAGGCTGTGGTCAGATCTACAAGTTCACCATCTTTCTTCTGAGTAAACCAGAAGGTTTTCTGTACTGTGTTTACTTGGTGATTTATTGTAGATGGGTATTTGTAGCTGCAGCTTATCTCCACTGTTGATCCTTTCACTGCACAGATCTGAGTAGAAGAGTAAGTCGCTCCCCAGCCATTCTGACCCTGAACCGCTGAAACACAGAGCACATCAGAAACTAATTCAATGCTTAGCTAATAGAATAACTAGAATATAGAATACAAGTTTGTATTATATTTGATCAGTTTTGGGTACATGGGAATATTTCTTACTACTGGATTGTTCAGTTCTGGTCTATTCAATCTAAAAAGAAAATGTATAAAAGTTGTATTTTGTGTCAACAAACCATTTATAGAAAGACATAATGAGCATAAAAACATACAAAGACACACTGTCAAATGACCTAAAATTATATACAAGTAAAACAGCCGATTGAATAATATATCTCTCTTCGAGGTGCTTTGAATAAGTGTGGTAAAGGTTGTACAATGTTAATGTGGATAGACATTACCTGGCATACAGAGAAGGAAAACAAAAAATCCACTCGCTGTTAAAATCATAGCGGCTCCTCTCGTCTCCGTGTGGCTATAAAATAAAGAAGATTAACAAGAAAACTGTTCTACATCAATTTAAAGGAAGTTCTCTTGAACCTTAACGTCCTTCTGTGGCCTTTAGAGTGAAAAGGAGACTGAAAGCAGGTTCAAAAATACCCCTTCCTTCCTCTTTACATTATTTAAATACACTGCTTGTTTTGCATAAAATGAGTTGTGTCCAAACGAAACCTTTCTAAAGACCACCTCTCTTATTTCTCATGTCTTCCTTTTGTGTAAAAGAAAGCTAAACCAATGGTCTGTCAGGTAATCTCAGCAGTGAACAAACTAACTATACTACTATCATTCACAAAGACACAAGGGAAAGTTTGCAATATTACTTTTCCCATCAAAGAAACTGCATCAACTCACAACATAAAAGTTGCATTCTTTTATAATGTCTGCCATAAGTCAATTAGAAAATCTAAAGTAGAAAAGTGCACGAGTCAAAATAGATGAACAGTTTGCACCACAAACTGCAGCTTGACTACATGTCCCACAATGATAAGCAGGACTGTGGCTGCAGCTTTGTTTGTCAACCCGGACCCATACATGTTTTTCTTTACTGTAATGATATCGTAAAAGGAAAGACTAAATACGACTAGCTGCCACACATTAATAAAACACCAAACAGCTTCATTATTATAGCTTTTATTCAATGGTTTATTTTACAAAACAAATTAGCGCGCCTAACATAATAAGAGCTAAAATATAAAGTGCTGTTGACAAAGGTTTTATAAGTACAACATGATATAGCAAAACACATTGGTCTGTATATTCTTCATTTCAAATTGAAAGGTTGTCTCATGTTTTACAAGTTAGTTAAATTGCTTTTTTTTTGGTAAAATGGAAAGTAAAAACAATGTTGGTGTCTCTAATGCCCTCTGAATAATGACATGTAGAGTCGTATCTATCTACTCCATTGTTAAACACCAATCCAAAGAACAAATAAAAGATTTAAAACGTGTGTCCTTGCTTCTGTACATTTAATTAAATAGGCCATTTCATATACATACATTATGTTTACAATAAAAGGCATTACATAAGCTACATAGTCATTAGAGCCAATGCTCAAACACCACAACAAGCTAAAGTCACATATCTTCTCAGAAAGAAGCCAATAGGAGCCAAGTGTTCCATAGGGATGTCACTATGTTAAGGAAGTAAATAAAGGAGTCCAATGGAGAAACTCCCTCTGGAGGGAACACAAACCTATAGAACACACTACAGTGAAGGGAAAACCCAATAGAGTCCCTATAATAAAAATGATGGGCTGTAGGTCTTCAATGACATCCACTTAAACACAGACAGTGGCAGAACTTCAGTGTTAGTATTATTAGATCTCAGTGCTGCGTTTGACACTGTTGACCACAGCATATTACTAGACCGACTGGAAAACTGGGTGGGACTTTCGGAAACAGTTCTGAATTGGTTTGAATCCTACTTAAAGGACAGAAACAACTTTGTTTCTATAGGTAAATACACATCTGAGTTGACAAATATGACATGTGGGGTTCCTCAAGGCTCCATCTTGGGGCCTCTTCTCTTTAACATCTACATGCTACCACTGGCTCAGATAATGAAAAACAACAAAATAAGTTACCATAGCTATGCGGATGACACACACATTTACGTAACAATTTCACCAGGAGACTATGCTCCAATTCAAACACTGAGTAAGTGCATTGAACAAATCAATGACTGGATGTGTCAGAACTTTCTCCAATTAAACAAAGATAAAACTGAGGTAATGGTTTTTGGAGCCAAGGCAGAACGTATCAAAGTTAGCGCTGAGCTTCAGTGTGCAATGTTCAAAACAACAGATAAAGCCAGAAATCTAGGTGTAGTCATGGACTCTGACCTGAGTTTCAACAGTCACATTAAAACTGTTACTAAATCAGCCTACTATCACCTAAAGAATATATCTAGGATTAAAAGACTAATGTCACAGCAGGATTTGGAAAAACTTGTCCATGCTTTTATCTTCAGGAGACTCGACTACTGCAATGGTGTCTTCACAGGTCTCACTAAAAAATCTATTAGGAAGCTGCAGCTGATTCAGAACGCTGCTGCTCGAGTCCTCACTGACACTAAGAAAGTGGATCACATCACTCCTGTTCTGAAGTCTTTACACTGGCTTCCTGTGTGTCAAAGAATAGATTTCTAAATACTGCTGCTGGTTTATAAAGCACTGAATGGTTTAGGCCCAGGATACATTTCTGACCTCCTGCTAAATGATGAACCATCCAGATCTCTCAGGTCTTCAGGGACTGGTCAGCTTTCTGTCCCCAGAGTCAGAACTAAACATGGAGAAGCAGCGTTCAGTTATTATGCTCCAAATATCTGGAACAAACTCCCAGAAACCTGCAGGTCCGCTGCAACTCTGACTACTTTCAAATCCAGGCTGAAGACTTTTCTTTTTGTCGCTGCTTTTAATTGAACTATTCACATCTTAGACTGCACTGTAACTTTTATCCATGTATTTTTTCTTTTAATGTTTATTTTATTAGCTTTTATTTTTAATGACTGACTTTAAATGCCATTTTCTTAATGTCTTTCATTTTTTGTAAAGCACTTTGAATTGCCTTGTGTTGAAAAGTGCTATATAAATAGCCTTGCCTTGCCTTGCCTTGCCTTGCCTTGCCTTGCCTTGCCTTGCCTTGCCTTGCCTTGCCTTGCCTTGCCTTGCCTTGCCTTGCCTTGCCTTGCCTTGCCTTGCCTTGCCTTGCCTTGCCTTGCCTTGCCTTGCCTTGCCTTGCCTTGCCTTGCCTTGCCTTGCCTTGCCTTTGCCTTGCCTTGCCTTGCCTTGCCTTGCCTTGCCTTGCCTTGCCTTGCCTTGCCTTGCCTTGCCTTGCCTTGCCTTGCCTTGCCTTGCCTTGCCTTGCCTTGCCTTGCCTTGCCTTGCCTTGCCTTGCCTTGCCTTGCAGATTCCTACTGTGTCCTGGTTTTGTTGATTGTGCTGTACAATGCAGTTGAGTCCTCCGTGGCAGACATCTGACTTCTGTTTTTCAAAGAGAAACATTTATTTAGGAGTTTTGCAGATTAGATAACGTACAAATGGCCAAACAGTGGTTGTAAAACACATAAAATCACATCAGGCAGATGCAAAAGTGAACAGGTGTTGATTTTATTCCAAGTCATGTCAACGTTAAACTCAGGGTAATGTTCCCGTGAGAGCATCTACTCACCTCGGGGCAGTGCTGTTAAATTGGACCTCAGCGTACACAACACTATCCTCGATGTTGGAGGAGAGAGGATCTGACTGGTTTTTGGAGAACTGGACACTGGCATAGAGAAGCTCCTCCGGAGGACTCTGAAGGGCAGATATTGCATAGACAAGATTAGCTTAAATGGGTTTGGGTCTGTGTTGCAAGGGAATATGTGAAGGTTAACCTGTTAAGCCCGGAGCCTGTTTTTCAGGCCTCAGGCTCGTAAATAACATGCCCAGAACAAATGACTATATCTTCACTTCTAAAAAGGGGTAAATGAATACTTTTTTTTTTTAAAGCAATGATACACCTGTGAGTTGGCTACAGAACTGTCAGAATCATATAGGTGTTTTTATTTTAAAGTAAATTCAGATTGAACATAGTAAAAAAATGTAAATTATATTTTCCATCAAAAAGAAAAACGCATTACTTCTAGTGAAAACCACCCTTGAATGATGGGATGGTAGACCAAAAGCTTTTGGAATCCAAACTATATCATATAATAATTACCCTGTATCAAGATTGATGCAACAAAAGTGACATTTGACCTTTTTAGAGGTCAAATTTGGGTGTATTTTCCGTATCTCTGGAACCCATTGGTCGACTTTGGTGATTGACAACACTTTTTAACCGTTAGAGCCAATAGAATCGAGGGGTGGCTCCTAAATCAACCTAAACATTACCATTGAGGAGTGAGAGTGATGTGCACGCAGTTTTCCCAAAACTGCAAGCTCCATTACACTCTATTTGAAAAATAAGTTTATTGCCATAAATGTTATGATGGATTATCAGTAATAATTTCAAAGTGACACAGAGACATTGGATTAACCTTCAGCAGCATAAGAATATGCATTTTACTGCCCTTGAACACAACTTTTGATCAGAAAACAGATTTTGTTTGCTAAACCTCTCTAAAAAAGGTCAAATTAAACAGGGCACTTATTATATGTTATAGTTTGGACTCCTAAAGCTTTTAGTCTACTATCCCATCATTCAAGGGTGGTTTTCACTGTAAGCAATGTTTTTTTTGGACGGACACTATCATTTTAATTTTTTTACTATGTTCAATCTGAATTTACTTTAAAATAAAAATAAAACATCTATATTGATTCTGACTCTTCTACATCCAACTCACGGGTTTATCATTGCTTTGAGAAAAAAGATTATTAATTTACCCCTTTTAGAAATGAAGATATAGTCATTTGTTCTGGGAATGTCATTTTCGAGCCTGAGGCCTGAAAAACAGGCTCCGGGCTTAACTGGTTAAGTGGTTAAGAATACCCAAAGGGTTTGGGTCTGTGTTGCTAGGGAATATGTGAAGGTTAAGAATCCCCAATGTTCCCCAAAACAATCTTGAACTTTACTTGAAGCTCTGTCTTGGAGCGGCAGTAGCTCAGTGTGTAGGCCTGGGAATGGAACAATTGCTGATTCCAGTCCTGATTGGACCAACAAAACTGTATGTAGACTATGTTACCCTCTGGGACTGTTTTTCTACTTTGAATGCATCTTTTAAGACATAAAGAGCTTTTGTGTAGCCCAGCAATAAGATAAGACTTTATTTATCCCGAAGGAAATTGTTGTGCCAGAGCCACAACAATACAACAAACACAGCAGCATAACAGCAAACTGTACACTAAAAGTGCAGTAAAAAGAGCAATCAAACATCTACAGGAAACATGAAACATATAGAGGGTCACACAAGTAATGGAAATATTACCAGTAATTAGTAGTGCAAAAAAATGTATAAAAAATAACTGAACTGAACTGTTGAAACCTGTTTTGCTTTTGTTGATTATTATTCTTTCTCACCCATGGGCGTGGGAAGAGGGGTGCTGAGGGCGCTGCAGCACCCCCTAGCGGCAGGCAGGGGGTCTCCCCTGTCTGAATTATTATTTGACGGTTATTGCTGCTCCCGCTGTGCATAATCTGTGTAATATCATATGTAGCCAATACATTCCACATTGTTGGTAAAATAATATTTTGGCATGCCCCGAATGTTTTCTCTGTAGCCCCGGACAATTCTACCTCAATAATATAATACATTAACCGTGTTTTACGTGAACCTCATCATGACACTCGAGAAGACGGCAGGACTGTCATGTCCCGTGTTCAGTGAATGCAACAGAGGCAAGACACCAGACCAATCAGAGAGTTGCATGGAAATAAAAGTGTGCTTGTGTCATTCAAACCCTCTGTTTGTGTGTGTGTGTGTGTGTGTGTGTGTGTGTGTGTGTGTGTGTGTGTGTGTGTGTGTGTGTGTGTGTGTGTGTGTGTGTGTGTGTGTGTGTGTGTGTGTGTGTGTGTGTGTGTGTGTGTGTGTGTGTGTGTGTGTGTGTGTGCGCGCGCGGACATAGCGCATTTATGGCGCATTTCCACTGCAGCGGGTAGCCCCGTTTAAGCGTCCTTAATCGTCCTCAAGCGGCCAGGCCGGTTTTTGGTGGCGTTTCCATATAGCCTAGTACCGGCCAGCGGGTACTTTTTCCCTCTTTTTCCGGCCCCATAAAATCGTGGTTCTATCAGACCAGGGCCAGGGCTGAACTAGTGACGTCAACACTCTCGACTGCTGATTGGTCAGAGAGAATCGTCACAAGATTGCGCGCGAGTTCATCCCTATAGTGTCGCATATATATCTAGAAGCAAGCTTGCAGCATTTTTATAAACAGCATTTTGTAAACGGATGAGCTACAAAAATGGCTACGTCTAATAAGAAAAGCACACCGTGGTCGACCGAGGAGGTGACGACGTTCCTACATCTCATTGGGGATGATCAAATCCAGCGGGAGCTCGACGGAACAACTCGAAATGTGAACAAAAACAAAGCCGATCGCCCCGCCTACACTGCGTTGCTACCCCAGGTCCTAAACTGTAATGGAAATGCGCCACGGCCTGGGCCGGCCAGCGAGGCAGCCCGAGGCCAGAGCGAGGACGCTTAGGGACGCTTAAACGGGGCTACCCCGCTGCAGTGGAAACGCGCCATAAGTGTGTGTGAGAGAGGGAGAGAGAGAGAGGGACCGGTGCCAGCAGCAGGGACCGTGTTGTTAGCATCTGGTTAGCTAGCTGCACTAACGGACATACGGAGCTGTTGCTGTTTGTTCCACAACAAGCTGGAGGAGAGCTCTCCTCTCAGACTGAGAGGCTCAGGTGAGCTAAAGGACTCTGAGTGTTTAGTAGTGCTGTAGCGACGCGTCGA